GAAGATATTTCTGCTCCTGTAGTATAGGTTGTCAGACAAGTTTGCTTATAATGGCTGACAAGAGACAGTGGAGGGATTGAGAAAGATATTGGTGACCAGGTGCACACCCAAAACTTAATGTTTTTAGGTTACGTTGTTGAGGAGCAGTAAACAGATGAGTAATAGGAAGGGCAAGAATAGAGTAGGAAGAGAAGACACTGCAGGTGTTTCTGTGACAAGGACAAGGTGGATATGAATGAAAGCAGGGTGAGTGCATTCCCACCTACATGGATAATGGAGGGGCACTGGATGAGATTGGTGTGAGGGCATGAGGAGAGGGAGGAGGCAATAAACATAATTGCATATTGAGCACAGGGGAAAGTGGTATACCTCTAGAGGAACGTTGGACTGTTGGGCTACAGAGGGAGGGTGACTGAAAGAAGCAGTTGAATGGATGGTCTCAATCTTAGTGACAAAGGGGGCATGGAATTGTTTTACTTGTAGGAAATGAGGGTGGAGAAAGAAGGGAAGAGGAGTTTGCAATGAAGCTAAAAGGCTAGGATTAATCTTTAGATTCCAGAATGATCCTGAAATAGTGAGCACTTTTAGCAAACCAGCTCAGGAGCTGATTACGGCTTACACGGTCCAATCAGAACCAGCAGTGAGTCATTGAACCATTTGCTTACCATGAACGTTCAATTGTACATCTTGTGAAAAAGACAGGCTTATGCTAAAGTGAATGTAAGTGAATTGAGAGTCTGTGTTTTTTTGGGGTTGGCACAAAATAGAGTTATTAGGCCAAACAGATATGGATGAAAGGCAATTTAAAGAAGTGATCAGAGTGGCCTTATCTTTATTGACACAATGGCACTAATGGCCCATGTGAGTTTTCAAAATTGAGCAGGTACCCATAAGAATGGGTAGTAGGTGAGTTTAAATGAAGAGAAAGATTAAGGGAGGACAGATGCAGTAAACACAGAAACAGCAGTGTGTTGAACACACTGGACTTAGGAGGAGTAGGTCTTTAAGCCTGCCCCACCATACAATAAGACGACGGCTGATATGGTCATGGTCACAACTCTACTTTTGTATCCACCCCATTGACTCCCTTGCCTATCAAAATACATCGAACTCAGCCTTAAATAAATTCAATGACCAGTTTCTACTGTTTTCTGGGGGAGAAGATCAAACATCAAGCGACCCCATGCAAAAGCAAAAATTCTCATCTCTGACTTAAAAGGTAGACATTTTAACCTCAAACAATGTCCCTAACTCTAGTCTTCCCATCAGGGAAACAACATCTTGGTATCCAGCCCATCACATTCCTTTAGGATTTTCTATAATTCAATAAGATCACCACTTAAAAGGGTATAGATTAAATCTATTTAATCTTTCTACAGGAATTAATTGAGTAAACTTTCTGTAACCTGCTTACAATGCAGTCTTTTAAGTAAGGAAACTCACCTTGAGAAAAAGTCCCAAATGGCCAGATTTACATTTTGGGCAGGGGGATGGAATGGATTAGCCACAGGGGCTGCTGAATGCCAAAACAGGCTGTTTAAAAGATCCACCTTGGTGCTTAGGGAATTTTTCCCTGTTGTAAGAAAAATAGTTTGGTCCTTTAGACCTCACACTCCCTCACTGTATCCCAATCACACCAACTCATGTTCTCCCAACTGTCGCACTTTCTCCTTACACTTTCCATGTCAACTCACTGAGTATTCACTATATAAGTGGACTGTAGAATTTTATTTCATTTCATGACTCCTATGTATTATTATTAACTTCACTATATAAAAGACACAAGCAGTACTAAACAGCCATTCATTACATTTACATTCTTTATAAAAACAAATATTTGTACTGATAGCTCTACATCAAAGATAGATAGTCTCTTAATAACCTCTTAGAATCAAAGCGTGAATTTACATTACTCCACTTCACATGATAGGGTATGGAAACAGTGAAACAATAACAATAATCTAATGATAGCTGTCAACTTTATTTCATAAAACAACTATTAAAATTCCAAGCATTGTTTCTTTCATCTTACAGATAAAGCAGACCGTTTTGTTTTTTCTTCCTAAATTTAAAGAGTTGGGAACTTTAATAACTTGATAGCTAGACAGTTCCACTGATCTCATCCAGCTCTTACACACATTTATGTTGTGATGTGGAGATGCCAGTGTTGGACTGGGATGGGCAAGGTCACAAATCACACAACACCAGGCTATAGTCCAACAGGATTATTTGAAAACACAAGCTTTTGGAGCCTCTGTCCTTTTTCAGGTGTTAGTGAGACAGGTAGTGTCAGATATAGGATTCATAGGTAAAAGATCAAAGGTTTGCACCATTAATGAGGATGCACTAAATGAACCTAAGATGCTGTTAAATCTTTAAACAGTTAGAAGGTTTTAAATGATTAATACGTATATGCAAATCCCACATCAAGTCATGGTCCTGAGAGAACTAAAGGTTTTATCATTGTAAAGAAGGTGACATTTTAGGTCAGACAATGCAACTTAGGTGTAAGGCCTTGTTTAGAATCGGTTTGTGTTTTAGCTTGGAGTCAGACTGGTTTTGTTTCTAAAGTAGGAATTTATAAAATGTCACATTGACTGTCTATAAATTGTATGCTTTTATATTTACTTTTAAGAATTATAACTGTGGAAAAATGACGTTCCTCCTGTAAAAATTGAGTTTGTCAGCACAGAGTTCAAATAGCCTGGTAGTTTTGGGTTTCCTGCACGTGCCTTTATCACTCCAGCAAAAGTAATATCTTTTACAAATGGGCGAGAATTCTGGGTTCAGGGTTCCTTTTGTCCCAAATCATCATTTTTTTTTTTTCGCCCTAATGTCTCGAATACAAAATTCTTGTCTTTTTCTGATGTGTTTCCATGGCCATGTCCTCCCGATCTGTAAGCTCCTCCAACCCTATGTTTCCATAAACTCTCCAATCCTGCATTCTCTGCATCCGGCTTCTTGTGTTCTTAGCTCACTTTAGCCAAATGTATTTCAGCATACAGTTCAGTAATAAAAGGTGCTAAATGTGTTAATGTCAGCACGTACCTACCTGAAGTAGCTGCCAAAGATGGACCTCAGATTGTATTGTTTTTAAGTTGAATAATTGTGGGTGTTTTAGCACAATAGGCGTGCTAAAGGACTAGTAAAATAGCAAACCGACCTAATAGTCTGGAGACATAAGGCTAAAACTCAAAGTCACAGTCTGCAAATTTGAAATCAACTAATTAACTAAATCTGAATAAAATGCAGCAATGCTGATCATGATAAAAGCTCAACTAGTTCAGTAATGTCCCAATGGAAAGTTATCTAATATTCTCAACCTGCCTATACTCTGACTTCAGACACAAAGCTTTATGAATTTACCTAGCTAGAGATTCAGTTCTACCAAACCACCACAAAAAATCAAAACTCCTGGATTGAAGGCTAATCACCTAAGCCAATGATATTGCTTGAAGATAAAACCAAAGTACTGCAGACAGTGAATCTTTGAAATAAAAACAATAAGTGCTGTAGAAATTCAGCAGGTCTGGCAGCATCTGTGGAGAAAGACACAGAGTTAACATTTTGAATCTAAAACGACTCTTCTTCAGAGCAAGAGTTCCTCAGGATAGTGTCTTAGGCCCAAAAACCTTCAGTTGATTCATCACAGACCACCCCCATAGTAAGATAAAAGGATGGGATATCTGGTGAAAATTGCATAATCTATTCAAAACTTCATTGTCTGTCTACAATATATGATTATGCACTGAAACACTTTAAATTCCACATGTACATTGACACATGCACTGATCTATCTCTCAATGACCATGCACCATACCTACAGTGCTTCAATTTAAAGAGCTAAGATTTGTTTCCAATATTAGGAACGTGAAAGCTATTGTCGGCCTTAACACAATTTCAATTTCTAACCACTACCTCGAAACCCTTCCCAGCCACTGCCGTCTGAAGCTGTCTCTCTCCATCACCAAGACTGCCTATTTCCATCTCCATAAGGCCACCTGTCTCGATGTCTGTTTCAATACATTGACTACTGCAACCTGCATGAATGCCTACAGATCCACATTCCATTGCTCTTTTGTCTGGTCGCCCACTTGTATTTTCAATCAACTTGAGCTCATGTAAAACTATAATGCTTATATTCCAAATTGTACCATTATTCAATCAACCCTCTTGCATTGTCTCTCTAAACCTTCCACCTTCCTCCCTCCCGCCTACTTTTAAGATCCAATTTTTCAATAAGTCCCAACATCTCGGGTGTCAGTATTATGTTTGGTGACATATAGGCACAGTTTATTAAATTAAAGGGAGGACATATAAATTCGATGTGGTGCAGTGGTAGTGTCCTTACCCCTGCACTTGGGAGGCCCACGTTCAAGTCCCACCTGCTCCAGAGGTGTGTAATAACATCTGTGAACAGATTTGATTAGGGAAAAAAAAGTATTAATTTGATGCTGTATCAATAGACACAATTTTAAAGGCCGTTGGAGTTAGGGAGTCGTGGCTCTGGGAAGAGAACATTCTTCCAGGACACCGTAGCATAAGAGGTCCCCCGGTCTTTCTTATTATCACTTGGGATCTTCGATCGACAAAACAAGAATAAACACCCAAAGAGGCGAGTGAAGGCTTCGGTTTAAAGGTTATAACGAAGGGTTATAACCATTCTCAGCAGTGCAACTCCCCCTCGATACTGCTTGCCGTCGGCTCCCCAGGCGTCCAACTCGAGTCGGAATGCTCACTGGTCCCACTAATTACCTCAAATCCGGCGCAAAAACGTCTAGAAAGCTATCGAGCGATTTCCCCCTTTTCGGAAACGGTTAAAGCGCCGCAGAGGCAGAAAAGAGATCCGGAACCCATGCTGAAGCACCGGCGGTTCCGGCAGGAGGGGCAAGCTCAGCGGACCTCTTTTATTCCGTAGCACAAAAGGTGGTCCGCTCGCAACAAGGGTTCGGGCAGAGGCAAAGGGGGAGGGAAAAATGATAGGAGGGTGTGGAAGTGAAACACGGGGAAAGCAAAGATAACGACAGACACCGCCAATCATAACAACAACAACAACAATAACAATAATAAAAACGAAACTGCATTATTGGCGCATTGAAGGGGTCCTAGAGGCGCCGGAGAAGCGAGCGATGAAGCAAATCCCGCGGTTGATAGTTGTTGCCCAGCCGGCGCGAGGCGGACCGTTAGGCATTTAAACAGGGGGAAGGTTTCCCCTCCGGCTCGTGGTGGGGTGGGGTAAACGGCGCCAAGAGACTAAATCCTGGTGCAACGTTGGCATCCTGCTACTTCGGGGAGGCAGACCCGACCCTGCTGGTAACACCAGAAACCAAACCCTTCCTCCCTTCCCCTCAAAGTAATGTCACGTTCGTGAATGTACTAGTTGCCACTGCTATGTGATGCAGGGTGAGCCCAAAAAGGGATCGAAACAAGGATAATGAGCGGGGATCTTAGTATATGCGGGTCCCGGGCGAGCCTGGGGCTGGGTCTGGGGGCAGCGACTGGCCTCGGTCTGTTGTATCTAGCCTACAGTAGGGGATGGGGGAAGAGGACCTGTCGGGGCAAACACGAGACACTTGACTTCAGCAATGTGAAACCCAGCAAGCCAACCGTGCAGAACCAGGCAGGTGAGTAATAAAGCTGGGTGGATTATTGTAGTGTGACTTCCTTTATGCAATGAGATAGTTAACTCACCAGAACATCCTTTACAAACACTTGCCTATGTTACTCGGATCATGCTGTTTACTGTTTAATCCATGCCATTGTAACCCTTTGTCTTTTGCCCTCTTTCCCATTATCATATTCTGCTATGAGAACGGTGAATCCATTGCAATACTCCACAAGTTCTCCTCTTCCACCCCTGTGCCCATCCCATTGCCCTTTAGTTTGTATTATAGGGTTTTAAACCCATGATAGTACCTTAAATTTGTTTCCCTGATTTTAATGTTTTAAGTGAATGAACTGACAGACTCACTAAATCCTAGTGCATAGATGTTAGTCATAAATAGTGATATGGGAGTTTGTTGACAGACCTGTCTAGAATATTTGTCTCATTGCTACAGTGGTTTACTTCTGGAAAGTACTTAACAGTATCTTTGAAATCATTTTGGATTGTGAAATGCATGTCATTAATTGCAATTTAACATAGAATCCCTGCAGTGTAGAAACAGGCCCTTTGGCCCAACAAGTCCACACCAACCCTCAGAATATCCCACCCAGAGCCATCCCCCCGATAACCTATCTACTCTGCACATCCCTGGACACTATGGGCAATTTAGCATGGCCAATCCACCTCACCTGCACATCTTTGGACTGTGGGAGGAAACCCACACAGACACGAGGAGAATGTGCAAACTCCACACAGACAGTCACCCAAGGGTGGAATTGAACCTGTGTACCTGGTGCAGTGAGGCAGCAGTGCTAACCACTGAGCCACCATGTGTGCTTAAATCATGTAGCTTTTTTCACCATTTCAAATTTCTCCTGCCACTACCAATGCCAGTGGCATTCCATGAATACTTCAGTTTAACAACATGAACTGTGTTATTAACAGAGTATTCTGTGTGATTTAGTTTTGTAAGGCAACGTGGATGCTATATATTGTATAAAATGCATTGTATCTCTGATCCACAAAGTTAGAAAGTGTTGAAGCATTTTACGATTATATCAACAGGCAATCTGTATAAAAACAAAATGAAAACATAAATATCTGTTGACTAAGAAAACAAATTGGCATTTATGTTCAGTGATCTTTCATCAGAACTTTTGAAAATTATTCACAGGATGAGGGAATGACTGGCTGGGACAGCATTTATTGCCCATCCTTAATTGCCAAAAGGGCAGTTGAGTCAACCACATTGCTGTAGGTCTGGAGTCGTACCTAGGCCAGACCAGACAAATATGGTAGTTTCCTTCCCTAAGGGCCATTAGTGATCCAGATGAATTTTTATGGCAAATAACAATGGTTTTGCGGTCATCGTTGAACTCTTAATTCCAGATTTTCATTAAATTCAAATTTCACCATCTGCTGCAAATTCAATCTGCTGATTCAAACCTTGGTCCCCAGAACATTACTCAGGTCTCTGGATTAAGAGCCCAGTGATAATACTAGTAGGCCATCACATCCCCACTTCTGAGTTCTGTTGTCAGAACAACTTGCCTTCATTGGCCAGCCTTCCACCATGGAACCAGAAGGAGGAGCTTGGCACTGGTATCAAAAGCATTTACAGGCACCTTTCTTTGGAACTGTTGTGACACTGTCTTTTAACAGAATTTGGAAAATTGTTGCTGTCTGCCATATCCACAAAAACATAATTAATTGTGTGGTATTTGCACAGGTTTTTCAGCATTTTGTGGCCCTCCCACATATCATTAAAATATGGGAAGAATTCACCAGAGGCATCCTGTAGCAGTACTTAGTAATCTTCTCACCCGTGTCTACTTTGGGTTCTACCATAATCACTGGGCTCCAGACTTGGTCAGTCTTCAGAGAAAAATTGATGCAGAAACTGAGTGCTGGAGGAGACTGCTTTCCCTTGATGTCAATATAGTATTGAATAAGTATGAAATGTAGCCACTATATACTACAACAATAATAATTTGTATTTATGTAATGTCTTTAGTATAGTAGCCATTCCAAGACACTTCAGAAGATTAGTATTTTCAAACAAAATTTGACACTGAATTATGTAAGGAGATATTGGGGTAGGTGACCAGAAGTTTGATTGAGCAAATAAATTTTAAGTATCATCTCAGTAGAAAGAGAGGCAGAAAGGAAATTCCAAAACTTGAAGGCTAGGCTGAAGTTACCAATAATGCTGTGAAGAAAACTGGGGACAAGCAAGGGACCAGAACTGGAGGAGTATAGATACTGGAGAATTGAGGGATTATCAAAATTGGGATGAGGAGGCCATGGATTTTTTTAAAATCTTGAAGCAATATTGGTTCAGGGGTCGGTTTGATTAGTGAACACATGATGGGTGAACCGTACTTGGCATGAGTTTGAAGGTACCAAAAGCTCGTCCACATCTACAAAACTCAACCCAAAGGTATACTGAAGCAATTAACTGATAGGTGCAGCTGCAATAACAATCAGAAAAACTCCAAATGCACCAGGCAGCCTGCTTGTTCAGCTCCAATCGCTGGAGTCAGTATCAGACTTTTTCAGTTGTTGTGATGGCTGTATGTACATTGCGGAATGCACAGCCTTAATTAGCCAAACATCTTTCAGTTACAGCTGCGAATCACCAGGAAGAGTGGAAGCAGCATCATATTCAAATATCCTGTCTAAGTTATACTATTCTGACTCGGACATTGTATTGCTATTTCTTTGCCATCCCTGGATCAAAATCCTTGAATTTCCTCTAAAATATCATCATAGGTAGTTGTCTAGTGTCACAGTAAGTAGCCTCTGAACCAGAAGCTCAGGAGTTTATTGCTCACGTTGATAACATGACCAAGCGGGCTGGGTAGAGAACTGAAGAAGATGGTCATGAAAGGTGCACCATTAAGACAACTACAATCTCTGAAGGAGAAGGTTTTTCACCAACTCAGTCTTGCTAACATTGTACAGAATGCAAAATCAGATGTTTTAAAAACGAACTGAATAAAGGTCCCCATGAAGACAGCCTTGGGAGAAATGATGCCAGAATCAGCATTATTGATTGGATTCACACTTGCCTTTTTTTAAAAAAAAAAAGCAGTGACCGGAAAAGAAAACCCACAGTGAGTTTCAGAAGTTGGAATTGCTGATGAGATAACATGCTTCAAGACATCATTTGCTTTGTGCATGTTGGCTCTTTACCACAATTACTAGTAACAGAAACTTCATACAGAGCACAGTTGGGATTTTGGCCAAAATGCTACCTTACCTGGAAAAGTTGTACCCTAGCCCTAACTTATAACCTGTATTTTCTCAGTTTAGAGGTACTAAACAGTATTGCATTGTTGAGTGAAGCAGCTACATTCGTGTTGCTGTGGACCAAAGTAGGGCTTTTAGAATAGAGTTAGTAATTTTGAGGTTGGAATGATTGAATAAAGAAGAATGTATTGCTCCCATCTAAGCAATTTGAATGAATCATATTAGCAGAAGGAGTTAATGATGAGTTTAAATCTTTTCACGCTGAGATTTGTGTCTCACCTGAAATTATGTTAGCTCAAGATCTTAACTGCTGTTGGGGTTGTTGAATTGATGGCTGAAGATAGAAATGTGCTACTGCATTAAATGACATCTAGTTACATTGCAGGAAAACTATTTTCTAATGGATGGCTTTCCTTGAGAAATTTATAACTCTGAACAAAGAATGTTGTGGTCAACGTAAGAACTGTGGGCTGCAAGATCTTAGTCAGAATTCTCGACAAATTAAGGTACCATTATCTTTTTAAAGTATTTCACCTTGGACTGGGGTGGACAAGGTCAGAAATCACACAACACCAGGTTATAGTCCAGCAAGTTTATTTGAAAACACAAGCTTTCGGAGCCTCAGTCCTCCTTCAGGTGTTAGTGAGAGAGGTAGTATCAGACATAGAATTTATAAATAAAAGACCAAAGGGCCACACCACTGATGAGGATGGATTAAACAAACCTAAGATGCTGTTAAATATTTAATCAGTTAGAAGGTTTTACTTGATTAAATGTATCTGTGTCTGATACTGTCTCTCTCACTAACACCTGAAGAAGGAGCGAGGCTCAAAAAGCTTGTGTTTTCAAATAAACCTGTTAGACTAGACTGTTAGACATTTCTGAAGAAGGGTCTAGGCCTGAAACATCAGCTTTCCTGCTCCTTTGATGCTGCGTGGCCTGCTGTGTTCATCCAGCTCTACACCTTGTTATCTTAGACTATAACCTGGTGTCGTGTGATTTCTGACCTTGTTCACCCCAGTCCAACTGGCACCTCTAAAATCAGCTAGAAGGCTGAGTGGTCTGGGATGCCAGTCTTTAACCAATTTGATCCACTCCACATGATATGTAGAAACAACTAAGGATCTGGATCCTGAGAACTTCCTAGCTGAACACTTGTGCTTAACTACAACTCTAGCTAAGCTGTTCCAGTACAGGTACAACACTGACAGCTACCTGGCAATGCAGAAAATCATCTAGGTACATTCTGTATATTAGAAAGTAGAACAAATCCAATTTTGTTAATTACCATCTCATCAGCAACACGATAGAAGGTGTCAACAGTGCTATCAAGTAGCACTTACTCACCAATAAACTACCAGTACTGAGAGATAATAAGAACTGCTGATGCTGCAGTCAGAGATGATGCTGTTCTGATGATGCCTGGCCTGCTGTGTTTCTCCAGCTCCATACTGTGTTGTCTGTAACTCTATTTTTTCTGGTTAATTTGATAAATCATTTTGTATAATTAGAGAGATTCTATATTTTAGTGTAATGCAGAGTTTACGCTGATAGTTGCATGTATTGTTTGATCAACTGTAGTGGATTCAGTCACTTTCTATCACGGAGCTTAGGAAGAACTGGGTGGTAATGGAATTCCATCCTCCGCTTAGGACGCATGTTTATAGTTTATAAATGTTTATAGTTAATCCCTCAAAAGAAGGGTCCTGACCGAAAACATCAACTTTCTGGCTCTTCGAATGCTGCCTGGCCTGCTGTGTTCCTCCAGCTCCACACTGTCTTATCTATAACTACAAGTGCTGAATTTGGGTTCCACCCAGACCACTTGATTTTTACCTCATCACTAGCTTGGTCCAGTCATTGACAAAGGGATGAATTCTAGATGTGAGTGACTGCCTTTAAGATGAAGGCAGCATTTAACCTAATATGGAGTCAAGCACCATAAGCAAATTTGAAGTCAATGGTAATGAGGAGAAAAACGTTGTACTACTTGGAGATTTGCAAAGGGAGATGATTTTTTGAGACCAAACGTCTCAGTCCGGGGATATTGCTGTGGGAGCTCCTTAGGACATTTTCGCAAGTCCAACACCACAAATTTTTTCATGACCTGCTCTCCATATTAAGGCCATAAGTGGGGGTGAAAAGATGATGATGATGGTAATATTTGGGATCATTTATCACACTTCACTGGCTCCATTTGCAGCAAGACTTGTTAACATTCAGACTTAGGCTGATAAGTTGTAAGTAACATATGTATTACATAAATGCTGAGCAATGACTATTTTTAACAAAAGGAATGTTAGCAATGGTGGTGAAAATCATGAAATAGCTATGGGATGTAAGGTGTATATGTCTTTATATAGATATTTTTAGTCAACCTATCCAGACATATGACACATCCCTGGAACAGGTGGAACTTGAAAAGGGTCACATTATCCTTTATTTTAGAGTTTTGATTTTGAACTAATTGCCTGTGGATTTTGAACTGTGTGCTTGAAAGTGTTAAATAATTAACTTGGCACTTTTTCTTCCTGAGCATTGATTCTTAAACCAGTATGTGTAAAAGAGCAGGTGACTGGAGTCTTTTGGCGTGATAACGAGAATTTGTTTGATCAATAGGGACTGGCGTGATTTGTCAATCAACACATAGTTTGGAAAGCTTTTGGTTCAGTTTGCAGAAATATTTCAAGAAACATGGCAAACAAAAGTTCTTGAAATATTTCAAGTTTTGCTATACGTAAATAACTCTTCCTATTTTATCTTGATTTATTTTACATGTTAAACTTCTATTTTATTGTTAAGCCACATTGCTGCAGGTTTGGTTTTATGTTTCAGTGAAAGGCCACCATGTTCCTAAAAGATCACATCTTTTTTTGGTTTGTTTTAGCAAGCCAGATTTAGCAACCCAGTCTGAAATCATTAGTAACAATAGTTAGCATATTAACAATGTGGCAACCCCAGTTAAGTTTGTGGTCAGTGGCAACCCTTGGATGCCAATGCTGGACAACTCCAGCTGATAACCATGAATTTTTACCTTTTGTGGTTGGCCACTGTGGTGGTTAGTCACTGAAGGTATTCACATGACGCTGCCGATGTCCCTTAACAAAGGAACATAAGTTTATTATTCAAAAGTAAAAAACCAAATAGCCAAACAGAGTTTCAGTCTTTTCCCCAGCAATAAATTTTACTCATACACAATTCCAGTGGTGTCACTCCTAATTAACTCTAATTGCTTATTAGTTAACTATTTCCAGTTTTAATGGCCTAGAGACTTCTTTCCAATTCTAATAGCCTTGGACTCCATTTTCAGCTCTGATGGCCTAAATCTCTCTCTTCGGTTCTGACAGCTTGAAAACTGTGACACAAACTTTCAGTTTGAAGACTTTATAAGCTAACTTTCTCCTCAGCTGATATGAAACGGTTCTTCTGAACTGAAAACCTGATTCTCCTGAACAAACTCAAACTAGTAGTGGCGTCTTGGCATTTTAATTTTCTGAATGTCACGTAGCTCATCATTGTAAACACTTGGTCAATTAACAACACAGGTGCCCTGCTAGACACTTATTTCCAAGAAAATATGTGACTTAATGTCTTCAGTTCACTGTTCCAAGTAACTGTCTCTAACTTTTTCTAAAACAAACTTTAAAAATCCAAGTTGCTAAATGATGATAATATGTCAGACCTTAATCACAACGCAAGTACTGTGATCATGCAATTCAACTCCTAACTCCCCAAAACCTAGGACAGTTATACCATACACAAGGCACACGTAAGGAGTGTGTTGGAATACTCTGCACTCGCTTAGATGAATACAGCTCCAACGACATTTGAGAAGCTTGACACCATCTAGGACAAAGCAGGAAACAAATAATCTCATTGCTGTCTGCTTCAGGACTCCAAAGATGTTCTGCATGCACGTCTAGGTGGTGTTTCTGTGTGTAGTTTAAATAATCAGAGGGCAGAGATATGCTGTTTGGACCCTTCAGCTGAATCCTTTAACATGGCATGGAATTGACTCTGCCGTGCAAATTTGTATTGGATGCCCTGAAGTATCCCAGATAGCTATACCAACATGTCTAGAACTACTAACCACAGGTCTATGATCAAGATTGGAATTAAGGAAGGTCATTTACTTACATGAAATTTATTTAAAAACAAACTCGTAGAACAATCAACACCTCCAATGACTATCCACTGTGTAAGCCTTTTGGACTTGAATACTGTTGTAAAAGTTAGAATGAACCCAAAAGCCCCTTATCTATGCTACGTACTATGATCATCAACTGTCTAAACTCAAATCATAAAACTTACAATATTGTTTTGTTTAATATTTTTAAAATCCATGAAATTCCTTTGGAATCTTAAAGTAATTTTTAAAAATGCTTAACTTTTTAATAAACAAAACTTGCCGCAATACTGCAAAGTTGATGGAGCTCAAGATGCAATTCATCGGATGTGGCTTTGCTATTCCTGCACCTTCCAACTGCGCCTTGTGGCACTGTTTGTGGTTACTTGCATCCAGCGTCCAGGATAGTATGTCTAAAGCTCCATTGCAAAAAAGGCTGCAGTTCAAATTGCAGTTTGCAGCATATGTCTCATGTACTGGAATATCTGGTCCAAAAGTGCATTTAACCTGTATTCAAACATTTAATTTGCTTTTATTTAGCATCAAAGGAAGGTAAAACACAGTCGGCAGAGGACGCTAGTAACATCGCAGAATTGAAGAAACAGCAGCTGGAGATATGGGAGCAATTAGATGTTATCCTTCAATGTGTGAAGGAGCTGAAGGGCGAAGTGATCGAACTTCGGGAGTGTCTGACTGGAATGACCGATCAGATTGTTGGTGATGTCAGGTAAACTCTCTTTTGCATTTCTTTGTAAAAATTGATGTACCCAAACTGTATAGCAAATAGTTATGTATAGTGATAATAGCTAAGTTTTGTCAAGTGAGTTGTAATAATGAGAACAGGTTATTCTTATGTTTCATTTTAGGCACTATCAGCTCAATTACACTGGTTCAATTCAAGTTTGTAACATTGACTTTTCGGTGTTACTTAGTACTATCATACTTTGCTACGTTTATGTGAATTTTTCATTTGTCTAGCTATTCTGAGTAATTGGCACTAAATTTTATGGCATTTTGTTTGAAAAGGTGGCTTTCTAAAAATATTGCAGCTTGTCAGCAACGCTAAGGTGAACTAATTGGCTTTTAACAAAAACTAAACTTTTTTAAATTTAGTTCCTTTCTTCTGAACAAAATGTCACAAAGGTACTTCAGAGGAGCACCTCTTAAAATGAAGTACACTATCAGGCATATTAGGTGAGAAGATCAAAAGCTTGGTCAAAGAGACAGGTTTAAAGGAATGTCTTAAGTGAGGATGGCGATGTACAGAGGTGTAGGGAGGGAATTACAGAGCTTCAGTCGCAGGCAACTGAAGGCATGGCCAAAATGGTGGAGCAAATCTAATTAGAAATATACAGAAGGCCAGAAGCAAATCTAAACATCTTCCATAGGCATAATGAAGCGACAGAGTCTGCCTGAAACCAAAATTAAGGTCTACTGTTAGAGGCAGAAGGCATAGCTGAGGTAATAGAGGTGGTGTTTTGCACCGATATTTACCAAGGAAGGTGACTTTTCCGGGTCTATGATAAATGAAAAGATGGTCAGATACAGATTAGGAGCAACAACAAATGCTGTGTGGTACAATTTAAAAGGAGGTGTTTGTGCACAAATTTTTCAAAGGTGACAGGATAACAAAGCAAATACTAAGCATATGGGATCCTTATGAATTTTTCAGGCAGATGGGCTTTGCATTTGTGCAGCTTCGTTCTGTTAGTGGTTGAAAAAAAACAGCTGCTTGCACATCAGGCTCCATTGCTGTAAAAGCTGTGTTTGCAAATCTAAATACTAGACTTGGGTAGGTTATTTTCTGCAAATATGGAACATTCTCACTCATTAGATTTTATTTTGCTCCAAGTTCCTAACATCACTAGTATTTGAATCGTTTAGTCCAGCATTCTAATAAATAAATGGGATATAGATGCATCATTAGTTGGATAATTTTAAACCAAGCCAACACTTCCTTTGCTTTCCTAACCTTTCAATAGCTAACTCAAGGTGGAAGGATTCTGTTGTCTACTAGTTTTTACAGCTGTTGTTTTACGATTGATTCCAGATTCAGCCTCCCATGAGTTTTAATCTGGACATTGGATCAGATTGTGGAAGTTAAGAGATTAGGCACTTTGGAATCTGCCTGGAAAGAGTAGAGAAAAAGTGTGCCAAACAGGGCTCTGGTCTCATGTCAAAGTATTGCTCCTATTTCTTGTCAAATAAAGATGTCCAAATTATAAATCCAAATGCACAGAATTAGGTTAAGTGGATGTCAGAATGCTGAGATCAGCCATTTATGTAAAAGATTTTCCAGGATTGTTTCTTCACCCAATTCAGGTATAATACCAACACTGCTCCCACTGACAATCACCTAGCTACATGTGTACAATTTGAAAATTTTGAGTGTACTGAAAATTGGAGTTTAATCATACTTTTTTAAAAAAATCATGTTTTACATTTCTGTGAACTTTGTTCAAATTAAAGGAAATGGTTCAGTGAGTGAAAGCTAAATATTTGCATTAATTTGAACATCAAAATAGTTTTTCAGTCCATAGATGTTGTTCTCTAAAATCGACCAATTCTGCCCAATCATGAACAACAATGTACTCCTCAACCAAGTTGAAAGATGGTGTGTCTAGTATCCAGTTTGTTTGGGTGTTGTATAAGAAGTTGTTTACTGAAAGAAGCCCATGTATTTGACACTTTGTGCATGATGCTGTACTTGTGGTACATCTAAGTTATCAGTACTTCTCAGAACAAACCTGTTTCAGTGCAGAGCATATTTAAAACTCTCTTGACCCATTAGTACTTTCTATACCTATTGGTGTCTTCAGGCATTTTATATCATTTCAGGCATTTAGTACACTTGAAATGGCTTCATTTTTCCTCTTCACCCCAACCCTAGCCCTAACTGTATCGTAGGTACAACAGAGACTGACAACGTATTAGTATAGAAAAATTGGGAGCAGAGTTTGGTTCTAAAACCTCTCAAATGCTTTGATAGTTTCAGAGGATCCAAGAAACCTTTTTTATAAAGTTTGACACGAACAGACATTAATCTTTTTAGATATCTCCATTCTGAAATCATGATTCAAACAATGTAGAATTCTTGTTTTGACTAACTTTTTTAGACCTAGATGTTATAATTTAAATGAGAAAATCCTGAAGCTTCACTTTATCAAACTGATTTCTTGAAGTTTACATTACAGAATTTTTTGACCTCATTCAAGAAGTTGAGAGCTACTACTAACCTATTTTATTACGTTAGTATAGAAAACATTGGCTCCATTTAGGCCACTCATTTATCTATCATGCTAAATGTAAATGCAAAAGAAAAATGAAAGCACTAAGTTTTTTTTGTTTCACAAAGGTCTCGTTTAGAGCATTGCGAAAAATCAGGAAGAAAGAAGAGAATAGGATTTAATAGAGAAAGAAGTAACTCTGCTGAATCAAACTCCATCTATTTCACATCCAGCGCTGGGAATAAGAGCAGTGCTGAAACAGAGAGTGAAGGAGGGTAAGTAGAAAAGTCTGCACTGAATAGTGATCTAAAATAACACCATGGTTTTGCATGTTTTTGTCTGTTTTAAAGTAGTGAGAAATGAAAAAACATTGCCTGACAATTACGTATTGGACACTCCTTCAGCATCATAAATTATCTGCATTCATTGTAGACCTGGAATCATACAGCAAAGCAGAGGCCCATCATGTCTGCGCTGACCTATGTGCTATAATCCCATTTTCCAGCACTTGCCCCATAGCCTTGAATGTTTGAATGTAGAGCAGTGTTTGACTCGTAGTTCTCTCCCACTATCGACATCCTCGGGACAACCATTGAATATGAACTCAACTCAAAATATGGTGGTTACAAGAGCAGGTCAGAGGCTTGGACCTCTGTAGTGAGTAACTCTACCTGATTTCCCAAATCCTGTTCACCATCTACAAGACACAAGTCAGGAATGTGATAGAATACTCCCCACTTGCCTGGATGAGTGCATCTCCAGCAACACTCTTAAAAAGCTTGACAGCATCCAAGACAAAGCAGCCCACTTGATTGGTAGCATACCCACAAACATCAAGGCTTTCCACCCACAATGCCATTAGGGAGGAAATTTGACCCAGCAACACCAAAGCAACAACGTATACTATCTACAAGATGCACAGCAGAAAAATGCCAAATATCCTTAGATAGTACCTTCCAAACCCACAACCACTTCCATCTAAAGATACAAGGACAGCAGATACATGTGAATACCACCACCTGCAAGTTTTCCTCCAAGTCAGTCACTATCCTGACTTGGAAATATGTTGCCAGTCCTTCGGTGTTGCTGGATCAAAAATCCTGAAATTCCGCCCGCCCCACACCCCCCACCCCCCCCCCCCCCCCCCCCCCCCCCCCCCCCTAACAGCAGGTCTACCCACAACACATAGAGGTTCAAGAAGGCAGATCAACATCACCTTCTCAAGGACAACTAGGGACAGGTAATAAATGTTGGCCTAGCCAGCGATATCTATGTCCCGTTAGTGAATATTAAAAGAAAACCTGGTTGATTGCATTCGCTGCACACATTGCAATCTACTTTGGCAAGACCAAGTGCAGGCTGGGTGACTGTTCTGTGAAACGCCTCGATTCTGTCCATGAGAATGACCCCGATCTCCCAATTGCTTGCCAGTTTAATAGACCACCTTGCTTTGAGGCAAACATTGCAGCAGGCCCAGGACAGAAATGTTCCAACAAAGCTTCTTCAGAAATGTGTAGCCATATAGTGTTCCGGTTAATGAATCACAAGTGGGTCTGCAGGTAAGGCAAGTAAGTAAGAAGGCAAATGGAATGTTATTTATTACAAGGCCAATGATGTATAAAAGTAGGGAAGAAAGGTCTTGCCTTTCATGGTGTTTTGATGTAAGATCATTAACTGTTTCTTTTGAAATGCTGCCTGATCTCTGTTTTAGGCATTTTCTGTTTCTGATATTTCAGATTTCCAGCATTTTTGCTTTTATGCCAACACTGTTGTGTGTCCTAAATAAATTACTGGTCACTTAAGTGGCAGACAACGACCTATTCATGAGAGAGTTTAACCACCAGCCATTGATATCCAGCTGGTATTGCCACCACCACTCATTAACATCCTGAGGAGAGGGGTGTCATTCATTGATAAAATACTAAACTAGATCACCCACCTAAATGCTGTGGCAATTACAGCAAGTTTGGGTATTCTGTAATTTGTTTTCTTGATACTCCAAAGCCTGATCAAACACGAGGACTGTAAATGAATACTTTCTACTTGCCTGAACCTCTGCAGTTCCAATAATATTCAAGAAACCCAACACTGTCCTTCGCCTTATCATACCATCTTCCCTATGTATCTGTCCAAATGTCTTTTAAATGTTATAATTATACGCATCTCTACTGCTTCCTTTGGCAACTCATTCCATATGTGTGCAATCATCTGTGTGAAAATATTGCCCCTCTGGTCCTTTTAAATCTTTGCCCTCTCACCTTAAACTTCTGCCCTCTAGATTTGGACTCCCCTACCCTGGGAAAAAGCCTCTATAAGGTCACTCCTCAGCCTCCTACGCTCCAGGGAAAAAAAGGTGTCCTAGCCTATCCAGCCTCTCCTATAACTAAAACCCTTCAGTCTCAGTAACGTCCATTTTAATAACACACTTCCTATAGCAGAATGACCAGAATTGTATGCAGTACTCCAAATGTGGCCTTACCAACGTGTTGTACAACTGTAATTTGGTATCCCAACTCCTGTAATCAGTGCTCTGACCAATGAAGGTAAGCGTGCCAAATGTCTTCTTCACAAATGTTGTCTTCACCACCCTGTCCGCCTGTGATGCCACTTTCGAGGAACTGTGTATCTGCACACCTAGGTCTCTCTGTTCGACAACACTCCCCAGAGTCCTACCATTAACTGTGTAAGTCCTGCCCTTGTTCATCTTATCAAAATGTTTTGCATTTATCTAAATTAAATTCTACCTGCCACTCCTTAGCCCATTGGCCCATCTGATCAGGATCCCTTTGTACTCTTAAATAACCTTCTTCACTGTCCACTCTACCATTAATTTTGGTGTCATCTGCAAACTTACTAACCATGCTTCCTATTTTTTCTTCCGAATCATTGATACAAATAACAAGCAACAACGGACCCAGCACTGATCCCTGTGGAACTTCGCTGGCCACAGGCTTCAGTCCAGAAAACAACCTTCCACCACCACCAACCTCTGTCTCTAAATTTGTATCCAATTAGCAAGCACTGTCTGAATCTTGTGTGATGTAGCTTCACTAATTAGTCTACCATGTGGAGCCTCGTCAAAGGCCTTGCTAACGTCCATGTAGACAACATCTACCGCCTGCTTCATCTATACATCTATGGGGAGGAATTGGCCTAGTTGTATTATCACTAGTCTGTTAATCCAGAGACCTAGAAAACATTCTGGGGACTTTGGTACGAGTCCCACCATGGCAGATGGTGGAATTTGAATTCAAAAAAAAAATCTGGAATTAAGAATCTAAAGATGACCATTGTTGATTGTCGGAAAAACTCATCTGGCTCACTAACGTCTTGTAGGGAAGGAAACTGCTGTCATTACCTGGCCTGGACTACATGTGACTCCAGACTCTCAGCAATGTGATTGACTTTTAACTGCCCTCCAGGCAATTAGGGATGGGCAATAAATGCTGCCAGCCATGCCCACATCTCATAATGAATAAAGGGAAAAAAAAATACTCCAGGTCATGTCCTCAAAAACTCATTCAAGATTTTGACACACGATTACCCACATACAAAGCCATGCTGACTATCCCTAATCAGTCCTTGTGTCTCCAAATGCATGCAAATCCTGTCCCTCAGAATCCCCTCCAACAACGTATCCACCACTCATCTCAGGCCCACTAGCTTATAGTTCCCTGGCTTTTCCTTGCAGCTTTTTCAAATAATTTACTCATTGAAAATACAAATAACTCTGCTCAGGGCCTCACAATTTCTTCCCTAGCTTGCCACAATATCCTGGGATACACTTGATCAGGTCCTGGAGATTTATCCACTTTTATGCGTTTAAGACCTCCAGCACCATCTTCTCTAACATCAACTCTTCAAGATATCATTATCTATTTTCCAAGTTCCCTAGCTTCCATGTCTTTCTCCATAGTAAATACTGACGTGATATATTCGTTTTGGGTCTTGCCCATCTCCTGTGGTTCCACACATAGATGGCCTAGTTGATCTTTAAGGGGCCCTACTCTCTCCCTAGTTACTCTTTTTGTCCTTAATGTATTTGTAGAATCTCTTGATTTTCCTTAACCTTATCTGCCAAAGATATCTTATGTCCCCTTTTTCCCCTGCTGATTTCCCTCTTAAGTGCACTGCACCCCCTATACTCCTCCAGGGATTCACTTGATCCCAGCTGTCTGCACCTGTCTTCCTTTTCTTGACTCGAGCCTCAATATCTCTTGTTATTCAGTGTTCCGTACTCCTTCCAGCCTTGCCCTTCACACCAATAGGAACATGCTGTTCTTAAACTCTTGTTATGCCGCTTTTGAAAGCCTCCCACTTGTCAGATGTTCCCTTACCTGCGAACAGCTTTCCCCAGTCAACTTTTGAAAGTTCCAGTCTAATACCATCAAAATTAGCCTTGCCCTAATTTAGAACTTTAACTCATGGACCAGGTCTATTCTTTTCCATAATTATTTAAAAACTTATAGAATTATGGTCACTGGTCCCAAAGTGGTCTCCCACTAACACCTGAATCACTTGCCCTGCCTTATTTCCCAAGAGGAGGTTGAATTTTGCCCCTTTTCTAGTAGGGCCATCTACATGTTGATTGAGAGAGCTTTCTCAATCACACTTAACAAATTCCTCCCCATTCCAGCCCTTAACACTATGGTTGTCCCAGTCCATGTTTGGAAATTAAACTCTCCTACTGTTACAGCCCTTTTATTCTTACAGCTATCTGCAATTTCCCTACATATTAGCTCTTCAATTTCCCGCTGACGTTTGAGGGGGAGCTATAGTATAATTACATCAAAGTGGTCACCCGCTTCTTATTTCTCAGTTCCACCCATATAGCTTCACTGGACGATGCCCCAGCAATATTCTCTCTAAGTACTGCCATGATGTTTTCCCTATCAAAAGCACCAGTGCTCTCCTCTTTTGCCGCATCCTCTATTCTTCCTGTAGTATCTGTACCCTGGAACATTGAGCTGCCCGTCCTGTCCCTCCCTTGGCCATATTTCTGTTATAGCTATGAAAATCCAATCCCGTGTTCCCATCCATGCCCTGAGTTCATCAGCCTTACCTGTCAGGCCTCTTGCATTGAACCAAATGCATTTTAATTCATCAGTATTCCCTCATTCTCTGTCTTGCTCATGCCTGCCTTGTCTATTTAACTTGCTCTCCTTAACCCCTGTACCAGCCTTAACCTTCTCTCACTACTGCTTTGGGTCCCACCCCATTGTCAGACTAGTTTTGAACCATCCAAGTATTTCTAGCAAATCTCCCCACTAGAATGTTGGTCCCCCTCCAGTTCAGGTGCGACCCATCCCTTTTGTATAGGTCACTTCTGCCCCAGAAGAGTCCCAATGATTCAGAACTCTGAATCCCTGCCCCCTGCACCAGCTCCTCAGACAAATATTAATTTGCCCTGTCCTTCTCGTTCTACTGTCACTAGCATGTGGCACTGGGAGTAATCCAGAGATTACTACCCTTGCAGTCCTGCTTTTTAACCTCCTGCCTACTCCTTATATTCTGCAGAACCTCATTTCTTTTTCTACCTATGTCGTCAGTACAAATGACCTCCAGCTGCTCGCTCTCCCCTTTGAGAACTCGCTGCAACCGCACTGAGATGTCCTTGACTTTAGCACCAACACTGCATCCTGGAATCTCATTCATGGTGGCAGAAATGAGAGGGGGACAGCCACAGGAGACTCCTGCACGACTTCCCTTCCTCTCCTGGCCATCACCCATCTACTTGACTGTACTAGCAGTGTGACCACCTCCATGAAGCTACTATCTATCACGCACTCTCCTTCCTGTTTGCTCCTTAGTGCTTCCAAATGCTGCTCCCAACTGATCCATGTGGTCTCAGAGGAGCTGCAGCCAGACACGTTCCCTCAAACATAGTTGCCAGGGCCATCCGACTGCTCCTGATCTCCTCCCACGTCTGACAGGAGGAACTACACTGCACTGACTGCCATCTCTACACCTTTAACAACTAGTGGACCAAGAGAAACAATAAAGATATTACCTTACCATTGCCCAGTTGCTGCTTGCACTCCTCAACAAAGCCAGGTATTCAGCTAGGCTCACTTAGGTCTAACCAGCAGCACCCGACCCCAAGGCAGCCCCTTATAAAAATGCCTGGAACAAGACACAGCAATGCCTCCCTCTTCCACTTCCCTAAACTTCCACACTTAGCTCAATTCCCAGTGTTTACACACTCTTCTTCAGCATTGCCTCCCAAATCTGTGACCTTTGCTTTTGAAGTCAAGGGTAACATTGGAATATCGTTATCTCCAAGATACACAAAATTCACCATGTACCTTCTTTCTCAGTTATTCAGATTTTTAATATTTTGTTTTTTAATGCTAGCTTTCTAACTTACAATAGAATCTCTGACAAGCTCCTAAATTCCCTGGTTTTTGAGTTTGAGTTTGAGTATTATTTATGCTCAAAATTGCCTGTGTTTCCAAACCCAGTGCTCATGGCAGTGTTTTACAGATTTGTCATGTTGTTCTACTATACAGGTAGAAGGCATACAAGACTATGGGCCATGGCATAAGGCTGTGGGCCAAGTGCTGGAAAATGGGATTAGAATATTAAGTGCTTACTTTTAAGCAGTGTAGATTCAATAGCCAAAGCCCTCTATGAGACTCTATGATTAAATCTAGTTTTTAGATGGTGTGATGAAAGCATCTTAGTCAGCAGTCGTGGCACAAACAAAGTGAGAACTTAACAAGTGGTGTTAAGTGAAGTAATTTGTCTTCAGATTTTTCTCCATGATACTCCAATTTTATTTTCTCTAATATTTCTCCAGATATACCACAGCTAATGCAGAGTCAGATAATGACCGTGAAGAAGCAGCAAATTCAAATGCAACAGATCCCATGTGCAACTCATTTCATAACTTGGATGAATTCAATCAATTTCTATGTACAGCAGACAAGTTGCATGATGGTACAGATGAAGACAAAGCAAAGGGATTTAAGTTGCTCTTGGATAAGAAAACCAAGGTAAGCACCTTTTGAGATATTTTCACTTTGTTTGACATTGCCTACTACTCAATCTCATCTTCTCCTTCCTTGACCAGAAAGATGGAACATTATAATTTGTAGACTTCCCTGGTTTTAATCAGTGTCTCAGTAGATTGTTTGTTTGTTTGTTTGTTTGTTTGTTTGTTTGTTTGTTTTTTCAAATTCCTATCGTTCAACTGCCCCAGCAGGCAATTGAGCAAATGCTGTTATAAAGTACACAAATGGGGCTAGTATAGTATGGGAAACCTGGTTGGCACAGACAGGTTGGACCAAAGGGTCTGTTTCCATGCTGTGTGACTCTATGACTATAATCTTACAATCTACCAACTACCTCATGCTGAGTCTTGTCAGTGGTGGACTGGAGGGGATTCTAAGGAACTGGGTTTAATTGCATTTGGAAACACAAGGACTAGTTAGGGATAGTAGCATGGCTTTGCGCATGGGAAAAGGTGTGATTTCTTAATTGAGTTTTTTTGAAGAGGCGACAAAGAAGATTGATGAAGTCAGACTGGTAGACGTTGTCTATATGCACTTCAGTAAAGTGTTTGACAGGATTCCGCATTGTGGACTGGTTAGTAAGATTAGATCACGTTGGATCCAGGCAGAGCTAGCCAATTAGATAGAAGACAGAAGGTGATAGTGGAGATAACAAGGTGCAGAGCTGGATGAACACAGCAGGCCAAGCAGCATCAGAGGAGCAGGAGGCTGACGTTTTGGGCCTAGACCCTTCTTCAGAAAAGATCTAGGTCTAGGCCCGAAACGTCAGCCTTCCTGCTCCTCTGATGCTGCTTGGCTTGTTGTGTTCATCCAGGTCTGCACCTTGTTATCTCAGATTCTCCAGCATCTGCAGTTCCTGCTATCTCAGGTGATAGTGGAGGGATGTTTTTGGGACTGGAGCCCTGTGATGTGCCACGGGGATCAGTGCTGGATCCACTGCTTTTCGTCATTTATATAAATGATTTGCATGTGAATATAGGAGGCCTGGTGCCATATTTGGTACTTTCTCAAAGTGATGTTCACCATGGAGGAGACCTGATTCATCAGCCAAGGGGTGGCAATAGCTGTTAATCAACAGGAGGTTTTCCTCCATATGCAAACTGATGTGAGACTTTATGGGGTCTGGAATCAATGTTGAGGACTCCCAGAAATGTGTGCTTCCACATTTCTCGAGTTCTTCTGCTAGTGAGATAGGACATAGCCAGGGATGGTTTGGTGGAGTCTGGGTCACTGTCAGTAAGCTGTGGTTCCCTGATAACAAATATCAGGCTGTTCCTTGAGTAGGGTGTGGGATAGCTATCCCCTGTCATTGCTTTTATTTTGGGTTTCCAACATTTGAAAAACTGTACTGGTGGGAGGCAGCAATTCAGTTCTTGCAATGTTTGACATTCCACTGTTTTATTGTATGACTACATGGCTACATTAGTAATTGACTCCCAACAATCTGTTCTATTGCATCTAATAATATTATGCATAATATATTAGCATTAAACCAATCACATGTGTTGTATTCATTGCATTGATATGCATTGAGCATGGATTTATGTAGAGAGTATCATTTGAATAAAGTAATTAATTCACACTTGCAAAAAGAAAACATGCTTACTGATCTGATTACAACACTTTGAAAAGTAGTCAAATATGCTTTTTTATTTTGTCAGTAGAATTCCTGTTTCAGCTGAAGAGTTGCTTAAGGTTGTTCAGATGATTTATTTCAACCAAGCACCTCCTTTACATTGATTATGTTTTACCCTGCTATTATTATTTACTTGCTAAATGTCAAAGCCCAGACCTATTAATTTTTGTCAGTCCACAGGACAGTCATCAGTTGTTTGGCCATTAACTATCAATTAATGACATACAGTATACAGATCCATATGTATCCTTTTTTTTATTTACAGTATCATTCGAAGCCTGAGTTCTGCTGGCGACTGGCTCGTGCGTATTGCGATCTGGTGGAGATGTCGAAAGACCAAATTGAGAAGAAGTCCTTTTTGGTTAAGGGTAAGCCAGTTCTTTGCTGAAATTTGTGCATTAGAATACATTCAATGTAGCTTCTTACTGTTACTTGGCTGATTAATGTACTAAGTCATTGAATAATTTACTGGGTAAGGAGAGTTACCAAATGGACGAGGTGGGACTGTGAACTCAGCAAAGGGTCGACAACTCTAGGACAGAAGTTGTGCTGTAGCTTTGAGGAAGCACTGAGGTAATGATAATACGTCATCCTAAGACATATATGGGTATGATACTGTTACATCTGTTATTTCAATCAATTTGCTGCAGTAATTATCCATTCTGACATGCGTTGATCAAAACTTTAAACATTTGAATTTGTTGATCTGGAATTTGCTAATATATTTGCCTTGAGATTATTTTTGTTTGATGTTTTGAGCCAACAACAACTTTTATCTATGTTGTTCCTTTAATGTAATGAGCGCTGCTTTACAGGAGCATTGTAAACAAAGTATGAACCAGCGAAAGTTTTGTCAAAGCAATACAGGGAATTCTGCTATAAGGTGATGGTTGCATTCCTGCACAACGTTGCATTATAGAAAATCGTGCTATAGAAGTAATGGGGCCTATGGGAAAAGTGGGGTTAGGGGAAGACCACCAAAAAAAAAATTCAAAATCACTCAAAAGCCTAACACAAAGGACAGCATGGTTTGAATAAATGTTTAAATTCATATCTAATAATGAAATAAAAGTAAATTTAACATGTTACCTTGAAAAAAAATCAAGATGACTTGATGGGGGAGGAGGTTTTGAGGTTGCTCTGTTGTTAATGCAGGGGCTGAGGGTCGTCGTCGTCATCGTCATCATCATCATCATCGTCGTCGTCGTCCTCTTCAGGTGCAGTTGTGGTTAGGGCGAAAAATAGTTAATCCAGAAATGGATGGCTGTGTTTCATTGTCTTCTGACTGTTTCTTGTGGTGTGGCTTAAAAAAGACATCCAGTTTTTGCTGCTTTGCCCTTTTTCTTTCATGAAGAAGCTATTCATAAGGTGCCAAATAAGATCTTATTCCGTAAACTGCTACCCTGCTGCATTCTGCATTGTAATCACTGACCTCTAAGAGCTCCAGCTGCTTCTCAGTTTCCCTCCGGATACAAGACAAAACAGAAGTAGAAAGTACTCGTGATGCTGCATCCTGGACTTCTACTTCATCTCCAGCTTCCACTTCCACCTATGGGTCAAGTTGTTGTAGATCAGCTGTAGAGAAGTCTTTACAGTGGGACTGACTCTCACTCTCCACTTCTTCAAGTTCAAATTGATTTGCAACATCAACACAACATTCTTTGATTCTTGGGAGCTCCTCTGATGGATCAAAGGTTTTAAAATCTTGAAAAAAATCTGGGAGAAGTTTCCATCAAACTGCATGCGAGCAGCCCTTGCTGACATCACCCCGGCCTCCACGATAATATCAATTGTGTTCTGTTTTTAATTAATTGGTTTTATTTGTTGTCACGCGTACCAAAATACAGTGAAAAACTTTGTTTACAAGCGGTACAAGCAGATCGTAGTAAGCAAAAGAAGTACAGATCAAAAAGACTGAGGCATTCAGGTTACATTGCACAGGGTGTGCACTAGGCGAGATCAGCGTTAGCAAGATCAATCACTATTTGAGGCTAGAGAGTCCATTCATCAGTCTGGTAACAGGCGGGAGGAAGCTGTTCCTGAGCCTGCTTATGCATTCAGGCTTCCGTATCTTCTGCCTGATGGAAGAGGTTGAAGGAGATCATTACTGGGGTATGAAGTCTTTTTGTTGGCAGTGAGCCGTGTAAATGGAGTCCATTCTTGATGTTAAAGCTCTTCCAAAATTGAAGAACACTGGTCTTATCCGCCTCGGTGGCTGCAATCAGCCTCTTAAATGTGCACTTTAAATAATAAGCTTTAAAAGCTCTTATTGCACCCTGGTCCATGGGTTGAAGGAGAGAGGTTGTGCTTGGGGGGTGTAGAAATAGCATTTTGATGTTGACCGAATGCTCACCAATGGTGGGAGGATGGTTTGGTGCATTATCCTGGATGAGGATGACATTGCACATGCTCCGGGCAAAGCCCGCAAGACGATCATGTGATGTTGACATGTACTCTTCTGTGTGCTGATGAAATCGCATTATATCCAACACAAGTTCGTGTTTTAGAAATAGCATTCCCGTATTCGTCAGTCGTGTTATAGCCAATTCACGTTGCTGGAACACACGTTATAGCAGAACCTCCTGTAGGTTTTAAGAAGGAAAGTGACCTTCAAAGTGTATGGCGAGAATTCCATAGCTTTATGCTTACGCAGCTGAAGGCTCAGCCACCAATGGTGAGCAGTTGTGATTGTGAACACACAAGAGGCTAGAATTAGAGGAGCACAGATCTCTTGAATGGTTGTGGGACTAGAAGAGATAATAGACACTGAGAAGGATTTGAAAACAAAGATGAGAAATTTAAAATCAAGACAGTGCTTGAATGGGAGCTAGTATAGATCAGTGAGAACCAAAGTGAGAGGGAAACAGGATATGGTGTAAGTTAAGACACCAGCAGCAGAGTTTCGGGTGACCCTAATTTATGGACCCTTCTGCCAGTTGAAACTATTTGTCAAAATCCTTAAACTAAGGACTAACCAGTAGTTCAAAAAAATATTCCTTACGGCTTTTGCAAAAAATCTTGTTTTTCCAGCAATTATACTTAAATTCAAATACTTGTTTGTTGTGTTATTAATGTTAGTAGAACCTGGTACCAGGGTGAGTGGATCTTCTATTTGAAACTGCCTTATCCAGAAGGAATTTTATGTAATGTTAAATATTCTGTCATTCCTCCAGCTTTGACATAATTGGAAATAATAGTAAAAACTGTCTCTACACCTTTTTTGGCTGAAGTGGAGACAATTGACCAAGCCTAACTCTCCTAAGTGGTTCTGAGCTGTGAAAATTAGCAATACATGTTGCTGGCTAACTGACTACCTGTTGCAACTTGTCTGTCTTAACTGAAAATAGATGTTTGTGGTCCTTCTGGGTCAACTACATATTGTCTTAACAAAATCAGCCATCATGTGAACTTTTCTTCAAAATGTTAAAATTACTGCTTAACTGGAGAAATCGTACTCTGACAAGCCTAAGTGCGTGCAAGATAAATGGCTGTAAATACATCTGAAGAAAGTGATGTAGGAAGGATGCAAAGGGTTTATGGAGGATTCAGAGGAGGTTTACAAGAATGGTTCTATGTAAGAACTTCGTAGCTGAGGGAGTTTGGAGAAGCTAGGCTTGCTCTAGAGTGGAGGGGAGGGATCTAATCAAGCTGTATAGACTAATGAGGGACCTAACCCGTAGTGAGAGAGAAACTGTTCCCAGGATGGAAGGTTTGAAATCAGAGGACACCGATTTAAGATGATTGACAAGAGAAGCAATGATGATGGAAGAAAAAACGTCTTCCTTGAGTAGAGAGTAGTGGATTGCAGTGCTGGAGAGTGTAGTGGACGTTGATTCAGTCATGGCTTACAGAAGAGGTTGAGTGAGTACTTGAAGATTCAGGAATATGGGGTTACGGTGTGTGAATAGAAAGAGCTAACAGTCTCTTGGTGGGTCAGATGGCATCCCACTTGTTCTATAATATGTCCATGATTTTATGAGCAGGGTATATAATCCAATACAGAATTCCAAATTAAAGCCCTAAAACTAGCATACTAAATTCCAGTCCTTGCCTGAAAATATTTTCTAATCAACCTGTTCCACATCTCTGGAGCAGGTGTGGTTTGAACCTGGTCTCTTGGCCCAGAGTTACGAACATTACCACTATAGAGCAAGAGCCCTTAATAATAAATGATCTGATCAATGTAGCCATTATCCCACAGAAACTCAGCAGGTGTGGCAACATCTACTCTTCACATATCCTACCAGACCTGAGGTGATAAATAATAAAAACAGAAATTGCTGGAGAAGCTCAGCAGGTCTGGCAGCATCTGTGGAATGAAATCAGAGTTAATGTTTTAGGTCCAGTGATCCTTCCTCAAATGCTCTGTTCCTGTTTTTGTTTCTAATTTTCAGCATCCACAGTTCTTTTGGTCCTTATTTAGTTTCTGACATGATAAATGCATGTTTTTCATAGAAACAGAAAATAGGAACAGAAGTAGTCCATTTGGCCCTTCAAGCCTGCTCCGCCAATCAATATGATCATGGCTGATCATCCCACTTAGTACCTTGTTTCTGCTTTCAACCTTTGAATCTTTGAGCCCTATGAACTATATCTATCTCCTTGAAAACATTCAATGTTTTGTACTGACAATGGATAGAGAACTGGTTCACAGCCAAGAAATAACGTAGGAATAAAGAGGCCTTTTTCCAAGTGACTAGCGGGATATTGTAGGGATCAGTGCTTGGACCGCAGCTGTTCACAATATATAAATACTCTGCCCCCTCTTCCAAGTAATTAATATAGATGCTACATAATTGAGGTCCTTGGATTGATCCTTGTGACTAATAGTTACTAATGGCCTGTGGAACAATGGGACTTGATTATCAGCGCAGTTAAGTTGTAGCAAGTTCACAACGTGGCAGAATTGTTTACTCCCATAAGCAGTGTGGGCAATGGTAAGATGTGTTAGAAAATATGGTGCAAGTGAAAGAATTAGCATGTTGATGTCAAGAATAAATTTCCTATTTTCCCTTCTGAGGTTTAAATGGTGAGTTAAGAATCTCACTAATGAGTGATGACTACTTTATTTCCATGCATTTTCCTCTCATTATTAGCTTAATGCACCTCATTTCTCTGTTGCATCAGATTCTCTTCTTCCTCAAGAAACTAGACTGTGCCAATTTTTGCTTCTCCAGTCCTTATCCAATTCTGTCTTCACCACAATAATCCTGCATGTTCCATGAACACTATCCATCTCCACCTTTCATCCTTGTTCTCGGAACAAGTCTTGTGCCGGCAGCTTGTGTGGCAAACGCAATGTATGTGCTTTAACTAAATGTCCAAATCTGGAAATAAAAGGAGACCTGTCCTTAGTGGGATCAAGAGG